TTTTTTTTTGGTTGTTGTAATTCAATTAAATAAGTTATAAGCTAAGTTAGGACTATCAAATACATTATTAAAATAATAATGAGACTAAGTTGGCCATCAAACACATTCTTAAAGTATTAATTAGCTTACATAAATGTATATGGCTATATTTAGTAGTCAACTAGGTTAGTTTATACGCTTCTTGTATAAAAATGCTCGAACTTATTTCATAAGTTTTTTTAGGTAGCTTTTCAAATAAGCACGTCAAGTTTTATTCAACTAGCTTATCAGCTAATTTTGGCTATGTTTGGTAGACAAATAAGCTAGCTTATAGCTTATTTAGTTAGCTTATAAGCTCCCTGTTTTCAAATAAACTCCATTTGGTAGGATGAGCTTTTTTAAAATGCTCGAGCTTATTTGATAAGCTTCTGTGGATAATTTCTCAAATAAGTTTGTTGAAAGTTTTATTTCAGCTAGTTTATCAGCTAATTTTACCAAACACTTTTATCATATAAGTCATAAGCTATAAGCTCAAGTTATTGCTAATTTTATCAAACACTTTTATCATAGAAGCTGATTTTTCAGCTATAAGTCATAAGCTATAAGTAATAAGCTCAAAAATTACTGATAAGCTATCAACTAGCTGATAAGCTATCAACTAGCTTATCAGCTAGTTTTACCAACATAGTATTTGCCAAACACTTTTATCATAAAAGCTAACTTTTCAATTTTACAAAACACTTTTATATTAAAAGCTAGTTTTTTCAAATGTAAGTCATAACCTAAGCTATAAAGTTCAAAAATTACTTATATGCTATGAGCTAGCTTATTGACTAATTTTATCAAACATAGTTACATATTTATCAAAAAAAAAAAAAAAATGCAAGACAGTTATATTTGAAATCTTAGCATTCATTTTCCTATTTTGAAACATATTCCCACATGACTTGTGCTTCTCAAATTCACTTCCAATGATATATGTTCAGTCCAAACCACAAGAAAATCTTGCCTTATAACAGACCACAAAGGAAAAGAGATACTAAATTTTAAGTTTCAAAACAAGTAAAGATTAACTTAACAATCATGATAGGTTGAGGCAGTAGGGACAAGCCAAACTACAGAAGATCCAAAACACCAATTCTAACATAATCATACATTTAACAAATGACAACTACACAAATTACAAACTACACAAGATTCAAGTCCACTTGCTAAACTGTCCTGCAACTTCTAAATACTACACACTTCAAAGCAAACTCCACCCTACGATCAACTTCCATCAAACTGAAACGAACGGCTGCAGATGTACCTATAAAGTTGCAAATCGAACGAAGTTACATGATGATAAAAAAAAAAATAAAAAAAAAATGATGTGTTATGGAAGAAATTGAGCAAGAAAATCAAAGCCCATCAAGCATTAATGCCCAAACTCGAGAGACTGTCGAACAGTGACCACAATCGGGTTCATTTCCCTCTTGTGACGTGTAAAGAGGCTAAACTTGCTAAACAAGAAAATGCCATTCGTTAAGAGGCTAAACTTGCTAAACGAGACAAAATCGACATATTAGAACATGAGTCTCACAGGTTAGGACTTGTGTATTTGAATCATGTAAAAAATAAAATCTATGATTAAAGTAAACAAAATCGACATATTGAAGCGAATATAGATGTATAATTCTTAATCAGGTAAAATAGACATCTTGGTACCACCCCTCCCCATACCAAAAAAAAAAAAAAAA